TCGCATTCCGTCGCGGAAAATGAGGCTCTTGTCTCGTTCCTTTTAGAGACCTGCATTGGCAAGGAGACAATAATTCTGGGCGACTTCAACTTGCCTTCTCTCGATTGGACTTCGCCAGACAACATCCTCAGAGCAGCAACACCGCCGGATACAAGATTCTTGGACCTATTTGATCACTTGGGGCTGAACCAATGGATCACAGAACCGACTTTCCCACGATCAGGCAACATCCTCGACCTCATACTCACATCGGAGGACGACAGAATTGGGGACGTTACGGTCAATGCCCCTCCTCCGGGATGCGATCACTGCAGCATCCACTGCAGCTATGTTTTTGACAAAGACATCCAGGTGCCTCCAGAGAACTCGCACCGTCTACTGTGGCACCACGGGAAATATCACATGATCAACCGTCACATGGCATCAATCGACTGGGACCTTGAGCTTCAGTATTTATCTGCGCATGACGCCTTCGAGCGTCTCCAGGACATATTGGAAGTGCTAATATCCCAATTCATCCCAAGATCTACACATAACACGCCCAACAACAAGGTTCCTTGGAAGAGAAACCCACCGACTTCTCTGAAACGCCTAAGGTCCTCCACATGGTCAGCCTACAAGCAGGCGAGAACGTCCTTCGGCAGGAACTCCCCTGAGGCAAAGACACTGCTAGCATCGTTTCTACAGTGTAACAAACGGTTACGAAGTTTCGCAACAAACTCGCAAATCGACTACGAGCGATCACTGTTAAAGAAGATGAGGGACAGCCCGAAGCTCCTTCACTCGTACCTACGTAAGAAGAAACAGTTCCGCTCTTCTGTAGGACCTTTAACTCTGCCATCGGGCTCCGTCACTGACCATCCCAAAGCCATGGCCGATGCCTTCGCGGAGGCTTTTGCCAGCGTCTATGGCGAAGCCCCACAGCTCACTCCCTTTCCTCACCAGAGCTGCCAGGCATCGCTGAATAACGTTACATTTACCCGCGAAGATGTTGAGGGCATCCTTGCTCACCTCGATGCTAACTCTTCGATGGGCCCCGACGGTATCCATCCACGTCTGTTGAAGGAATGTGCCTCGGTTTTATCGCAACCACTGTTTCATATCTACAAACTGTCGCTAGAAGAGGGAACACTGCCTCGCCGTTGGAAGAATTCCCACGTAGTACCGATCTTCAAGAAAGGCTCGCGATCAGACCCTCTAAACTACCGGCCAGTTAGTCTTCTATCTGTTCCATCGAAATGCCTGGAACGCATTATTGTGCGTGAACTGAACGAGTTCCTCGCCGAGAACAACCTTCTTGTCGACCATCAATTCGGTTTCAGGTCGGGCCGCTCTACTGAAGACCAGCTTCTACTGACGTACGACTTCGTCTCGCGCAACTGGGACAACGGATGCCTCGTCGATCTTATTCTTTTCGACTTCTCCAAGGCCTTCGACACGGTGTGCCACTCAGTCCTCCTCGAGAAACTCCGATGCATTGGTCTCGGCGGACAACTCCTTGCCTGGCTCCAGGACTTCCTATCTCATCGAAGGATGCAAGTAGTGGTCAAAAGCACTCTGAGCTCATCGAAGGAAGTACGGAGCGGAGTACCCCAAGGATCGATTCTAGGTCCGATCCTTTTTTTGATCTACGTCAACCACATAGCCATCGGTTTGCACAGCCGCTACAAAATCTTCGCAGACGACCTGAAGATATACATGTGTGGGAACAAGTCCGAGCTCGACGCCAAAAGTCTTCAGTTGGACATTGATCGTCTCCAAGCCACAGCATCATCGTGGGGCCTTTCGCTGAACTCGAAGAAGTGCGTCCTCATGAGGTTCCAACGGAAATTCCATAAATCACCAAGACCGAGTTACTATCTGAATAACTCTGCCCTTCCCTGGACCGAATCGCACTCCGACCTTGGCGTGATCATCGATGACAGTCTAAGGTTCCATGAGCAGGCTAGAGCTGCCGCCAGGAAGGCTGGAGGAGTGGCACACAGCTTTTTGAAAGCAACCTTGTGTAGGGATGCAGACTTCATGCTGCACATCCTCCGCACCCACATCCGTCCAGTTCTGGAATACGCCTCTGTTGTATGGAACACAGGATATATCGATGACCTCAGAAGACTCGAGGCGGTCCAACGACTATGGACTCGTCACATCAAAGGCCTGCAAAACATGGAGTACGGTGACCGCCTGAGACAGTTAAACCTCTTCTCTGTGAAGGGCAGACTGATCCGATCCGACCTCATCAAATGCTGGAAAATCTTCCACAGCCCCGGTCCCATCAAGCCGTCAGATCTCTGGGAATTGTCCTCCGAACGCCGCACCCGAGGTCATCAACTCAAAATCACAGTCCGGCGCTGCCAACTGGACACGAGATCACGTTTCTTCTCGGAACGCGTCGTGAACGAGTGGAGCGCCTTGCCCGACTCGACGGTCACCTCCACTTCCCTCGCCGAGTTCAAGTCATCACTCCTGAAGGTTCTTGGTGATCGTTTGTTCGACTACATCGCCTGAGCTCTCCTGCAAGGTTCTACTGATCATCGCCGCGCACTCCAGATTCCGCGAAGGAGCGAATCAAACAGTACCGTGACAGCCGGTACTGAACTGATACCGCACAGCTAATCACATCTAGAATTTTTCCTCCCCCAACTCCAAGCAGACGCACTACCCCAATCCCCTGCGGTCCATCTCTCAGCGCCCAGCGTAACCAGGGGAATTGGCGCGTCTCTTTCCTACACGGTTTCCTGCCTCTCCTCATGCACTGGTGAGTCAAGGAAACCCAACAGGTGAGTTGAACAGGTGAGTTGAATCTCCGTCCGTGATGTTGCAAAAGATTCCAATGGTGCTAAACAATTTACAAAATGATCCCCTGTAAATATTTGAAGACCACTGCATCAACATTATCGCCAAATAAACGAGCTGGAGCCTCGTTGATACTGCCAATATCAAGGCCGTATAAGACGCCAATATTTATAAATCATGCCTACCTTTTTCATTTGAAATAATTTATAAAATCAAGTGTCATCTTTGGAACATTTATTTTAAACATATAGCAGTATTATTTTTACTAAGGTTCATTGTAAAACATCTTATGTGCATTACATGTAAAACAAAATCTGATCCTAAGAACTTAAATTTTTAGAATTATTTAATTCATATTGAACTAGACATGCATGCACACAAGAACCCGGTTTACATAGCATATTTGACGAGGCTCTAGCTTGTTAATTTGGCGATAATTTCGTTGCAGTGGTCTTCAAATATTTAGAGGGGATCATTTTGTAAATTGTTAAGCACCATTGGCATCTTTTGCAACATCACGGACGGAGATATAAGCTTGCAACAAACCCTATGTAAACGCGTCTAAGGTGGCCTGGCCTGGAGGAATGGAAAACAATTTTATTTATATCTGTTTTTGTGATCATTGGAGGATCATTATTAATGTAAAAATCAAGTAATTCTTTGTAATTTGATATCATGACCTCTTCTCCTTTCCAAAAATATGCTGAGCCAAAATTATATTTTTTTTAGCCCTAAAACAATATAATTTTGGCTCAGCATAGCTTTGGAAAGGAGGAAAGGTCATGATAACAAAGAAGATAGGCACTAGATTTTTAAATTATATTTATAGGTTGTATTAGAGCTGACTTGATAAAAGTACATTTTTAACATGGGGTTCTGAACTGGAGTAGCAGTTTTGTTGTTTGTGCCGAGACTAGCACAATTCACAAATCAGGAGCTTTTATGGCCCAATGATCAACCTAGGGAAAAAATGCTCCATTTCTTGAATCTTGATCCAATATCAGTGCATTACACAGGAATTTTGTGCATTAAAGGAAAAGGGCCACCTTTAACATGGGGATTGAAACTGAGATAGCCATCTTGTAGCCCGTGTCCGAAAACCTATCTGTCTACCTCCTTACGGCCGATTTCGGCCTCCATTCGTAGTTATCAGCAATTTTAAAAGAAAATACGCCAGGAATGCGTCCTTATTCCAGGAATGCGTTCTTATCCGACAATACAGCCACCCGCGGCGAGGCTTTGGTTTTTTACCAATCAGCTCCAACCAGCTCAGCTTTAACCAATCAGCTTATCTGGCACAATCCGACGAGTCTGTCTTCTGAACGCTGATTGGCTTGAGTGTGACGTCATCGCTATGCCATCATACAGTAGGTGCCGTAGAGAGTATCAACATAGTACCAATATGTTAAATAGTTTTAAATACTTTTTAGCGAATTGTGCACTTCTGGCACCAGTTTTAAAAAGAAAATGAAAAATAATAATGTCAAAATGAAAAACAACGATATCTTCATATTTCACGAAGGTGGCCCTTTTCCTTTAAAGCATGCCAAGAATGCAGCCACTGGCCCACCCCACCTATCCCCTGTTGTAGAGGGCAATGTAAGCCAATCAGCATGCAGTTGGCGTTTAACTATGCAACATGATTGGTCAATGCATAATAAGCTCCTGCTGCAACCACTGTTTAGCCTCTACCAATGATGGCATATAGTTCTTCCTTTAGGTTAATAATTTGAAAATTCCTTTTGTTAATATAATTATTTTCTTTCCAGATCATTGTAAGCATAAAAATAATAAGATTGTAGCAAAAACTAACATAAAAGGTGGTATATTTCTTTTAAAATGTGGTTGTGCTTTCTGCAGCCATGATACTCGGTTCTTCATTTCTTTTAAGTATGCTTGATAACAATATGTAATCAATATTACAATATTTCAATATTAATACCTTTATACATTTTTTTTCCTATCAGCTTAACTTGATCTGCTAGTGCACACTACCCATTTCCCACAATACCATAGTAGATAGGAAAGAGGCATAGGGAGCGGATGCTCATAGGATGCTGCCTCTTCTCAGTGTCATATGACGGTCATATCTGTTCTTGAATGCGTTGATGCTTGGACTCAGTACCACATGTTCAGGCAGTTGGTTCCACTGGTCCACAACTCTTGAGGAGAAAAATTGATTGCGTCTGTGCAGCCGATGTCTTGGCTTTTGCAGTCTGAGAGCATGTCCGCGTGTCCTTTCCCTGTTTGTACTGGTCTCTAGTTTCAAAAACTCTTCTCCAGCATTCACCTTGTCATGTCCATGGACCAGCTTGTAGACTTCAATCATGTCCCCTCTAACCCTTCGATCTGCCAGTGATGTCAGTTTCAGTTGGTCTAAACGATCTTGGTAAGGGAGATTGGCGAGTTCAGGTACGAGTTTTGTCGCTCTCCTTTGGATCCTCAATATGCTATGATAACAATAGTTAAGCTTATTCATAATTCAATGTTTGTTTTCAATTACCAATATTCTATGCTTACTAATATGTCTATTCTTGCAGGACACTGAATGTAATTGCCAACAAGATTACTTTGCTAATAATTGCCAAGGTCCAATATGTATCACTCTGCTCTAAGAAGGATTACCTCAGTTTTAAGGTACAGCATTTTAAGGTATGTCACATTTTTTATTTTTGTCCTTATTCATGTAGAACATTGTAGAACATGATTTCCAGCACAGGCTGGACTTTGGTTCAATCTTTAAGTGTCATAAATTCTCATAAAAGAGATGTATTGAATAGAGTTGGAGCCCATGCTAAGCTGATCTTGTGCAGGCCCCCACAGTCCCTACTGTCTGATCGCGCATTTGCGGGTATCTGGAGAATTTGGACGCCAGAGTTTAGGGTGCACATGAAGACCGGACGTGGTTCCTTCTATTGCCTCGATTTCAACTGGCTGTGACTGCTTCTATCCTGGTGAGATGACCTGGGGGTGTGGACTCGGGCTTGGGCTCTCATTGCCAGGAATCCAATGCTACACACACTGAGCTACGGGGACCTGGGTATACATACTTTTGCACACTTACAGTAGCCATGAACGCCCTGAACCTCCCCCTACTTGTTCACTTGTGTATTATTTGAGCTGCTTTTTGGCCACACAGGGATAGGTATGCAGAATTGCAAAGTGCAAATGTTCCCCTTTCCCTGGATCGTCGCTATTCCATGACTCGTGGTTCCAAGGGTTCTACTGCGCCTAATAGTGACAACCATGTGATTGGCGAGTAAAGGAGATAATTGACGGAAAAGGCAAATGCTGATAAAGAATTAATATAACGATTCATGCATTTCAAAATGTTCAGTATCTTTGCCTTGTCCCGGTTTGCTTACATAACCTGAGGCGGTCTGACAGATGAATGTGGTCCATCCTGTCATCTACAGCGAGATCTATTCAACTGCTGCTTCTCTGTTTTGCCGCTAGGTAGCGACTCAGGCGTCGATGTTTGCCACATGTAGTACGAGTATGAATCAGTGTGTGCTTTTTAAAATTGGTATGTGTAGTATTTTACCATATACAGAGCCAGAGGGGGGGGGGGGGGGGGGCTGTGAGCCAAAGACCTGCCAACACCTGGTCCTCCATAGACCACAGCACTTACACTGTTGCCCTTGAGAGGCGAGGCGAATGCTTTCAGCCCATCTCCTCTCCCGGCTCACCCGAAGCTAAATGAAACGATGCATGGGGTGTGCTATCCGACTGTCCACCACTGGCTGATCAGCCCGTAAGGCAAGCATACAGTGTGCTCAGCATTCCTGGAAGACGGAACTCGAACCGCCTCTCGACACTGCGAGTTTGTCTAAACATCTGAAAGGATGCTGTCCGTGTATCTGAAGGGGGAAGGGGGATCGAGGCAAGGGTCTGTAGGGCATTTTAACCCGCGCCAGGGGGGGGCTATTTTTGCCCCTTCCAGACTTTTCGATATATCTCCAGAACCGCTGCGCCGATCGTCACCAAACTTTCAGTACCCTCCCGGGCATCAATTTTACACATTGTGACCAAAACTTTTCCAAAGGCTATGAAAGGTTGGCCACAAATAACGTCAGAGTGACGTCATGTTCTGCCGTTTTCGACAAAAAAGAAAAGTTTTCGCGGGAAGAGGTGTGAGGCCTATAGTTTTGAAAATACAGAAAAACGTTGATGATATAAAAGGTGTAGAATTACCAGGGCTACTAAACTGCTATCTCGAACTTGTGAAATTTTCGAATTTTGACTCCAAAGAAAAGGAGAATATAACAGCCAAAAAAACCAAAAAGTTTTTCAAGTTTCGAAAAACCGAAATATATGTGATAGCCCCTAATGACTTCTATTCACATACCGTAAAGTGGGGCTATTTGAGACAGCGGGGCTATTTGAGACAGTAAGGTAGTGGTTTAGTAAAATCGCTGTAACATGAAAACCGTTCGATATTTTTTCGTCATTTTTGCTTAGGCTGATGTGGCATTGAACAGTGAATGACCTGAATAACCTTTTTGAAAAATTTCGAAAAGTTTTGAAAGAAATTTGGTGGAAAATACGAAATACAGAAAAACGCACAATTTAAGTTGCTCGAAAAGGACCCCTACCTGCCGCTTAACATAGTTGAAATTTTAACAGCTTCGGCACTGCATCTATCGTTACTACCGTTTTACTTATAGGCTAAGCATATTTTTCATGAAAATATTATACATTGCTAACGTTACTGCCGATTGCGTAACCCATTGTCTCAGAATCCCGATGATGCCCACCTGGTCAAACCTCAACCGATATGCCAAATAGCTGATGATAATGGTGATGCGATTGCACCCGAGAACTCTTACCACCATCTAATTGAAGTGCATCGAACGTTCGACATGAGCAACACCGATGAATCGGTCGTGGTCATAAACGTGCAGTGGGTTCATGCCTCATGGTAGGTACTTTTAGCAGCAAGCAATATTTACATGTTCGTAGTGTAACATAATGACCCTTTAGCTGGTGACCGAACTAGTTATTCTGATGAATATGTGCTTAAAAAATGTTTCATCAGTCACTGACTTAGTCGACAATCAACACATGTCTACCTTGGCTGACCAAAAAACACCATTGAAGATTACTTAACACATGAACGTACTGTTAGGTGGGCCTATGCATGTAGGCTTGATGTGGTAGGGTAACCGGCCAATTGATACAGCATGCAGCGATCGAGGAAAATCGTCATAAAATCAAAACCGCTTAACATTTTCTGTTATTTCTTCGCATGAAGATGTGCAATGGAACAAGGAATCATACAGACCATTCACTTAAATGTTTTGGGAAACCTTTTAGCTCGTTTGACTCATTACGGTGTGCTTCATTAGGTAGCGAGCCTGTCTCAAATAGCCCCACCGACTTTCAGTATGTCTGTTTTCACGCCACCAGGGCTATATACAAAAACTTTCTTTCAAAATTTTACTGTTGTTGACTTTAAAATAGTCCTTCATAATCATTCTGAAAATTTGAAAGTTTAGGGTCACATCATATTATGATAGCCTTAGCATATAGTGATGCAATTTTATAACCTACCGAAATGAAGCATCCTACGAAAAAGGAAAAGATTGAATATAAAGGAAATATAACTGTCTTTGCAAAAAACAATTTTTGCCAGAATGATCAAAATTTAATTTCCAATCGCATGGCATTAAAAAAAAATTATCTCTAGCGTGACCGATTTTCTTCAATTTCTTCGTAACTAAAACTGTCTCAAATAGCCCCACCCTGTGGGGCTATTTGAGACAGGCTTTAACTAAAAAGATATCCTTAATCATTATTACTAGCTGAACCAAAATGCACCTATATGAAAGAGCTTACGGAGAAGTACATTTTTGCAATTTACATGCTATAAGAAATATGTTACAGGGAGTATGCGATTTCAGTTAGTTTGCAACGACCCTAGGGTGGTTGTAACCTCCCTGAACGATCAGTTTGTTTGCAACGACCCTAGGGACGTTACAAAATAACTGCTCGTTCCGGGACGTTGTAACGAAACTAGGGTCGTTGCAACCTCCCTAGTTAGTATGCAACGAACCTAGGGTTGTTACAAAATAACTAGGGAGTTTAAGAAATCATCGAGTCTCGTTTCACAGGGGTTACATGGGGGGTGGGGGTGGTTGCCACTCCCCCAGGTAGTCTTTCTGCTCTGCACTCAACATTTTTAGAGCTAAAAGCCTGATTTTTGGTATAGCTGCTCCTCTATCTTTTTCTTGATGTTCACTAAAAAATTCAAGTTTTTGTGGTTTTCGGTTTCGGAGATATGACCTTGTTTTTCAGGTCATGTCATGACCCAAATGGCCAATTCTCAACATCTTGCGTTACTATGGGCCTTGTGAGCTTTTGACACTTTGATTTCTGCCTTTTTTGCCAGTCTTACCTCCCACCTATCATGGAGCATGTTGTTCGACGGTGTACAGATGTCAAGGTCAGGGTCAAGGTCAACCTAGGTCATCTACATAAGATAATTGCGTTTTAGGCAAGTTGAATTTACTTTTCGTGAAGTTTTTTGACTGCATTCTTGGTGAAAGCTTCTCAGATGATGATTTCATGTAATATGGACATTGGACACATAAACAACCGGCACACACATCAGTATACACACAGACACACACAGACATACAAACACATATCATTGACCTTGACCTAACTCGACCTGAAATGACCTCAGCAGCAAAAATCTGGTCGGGTAGTGTGACAAAGAGGTTCTAGCTAGCTGGGCACCAGAAAACGGCATCGTCATCGCTATATGATAAGCAGCGCACTTGATATCCAACGGTGACCCAAAACAGCAACATTTTTTAGTTTGACCTGCCTGGAAGGTCAATGACTGAACTGAGAAGGTAAAACTGGGTATCATTGGATTCGTTTCTTCCCAAAGAATCTTTTTGGTCTTTACCGCGAAGCTCTATCTCCAACAGGAACGAAATGGCGCGGGGGGGGGGGTGGCAACCCCCCCCCATGTGCGTTCTAGGATGGGAAAATGGCATGTGCGGGCGAGGGTTAACTCTCGCCCTTATTGGTGTTTTGCTAGCTGCAAACGCACATGGCGGGGCTAGATTATTGGTTGACTTTCCAGGTCAGGTCAGTGACTCAGAAGTCGGGAAATCGGGACCTGTTAAAACTTTGGAGAGTTAGCTTGTTACGAGGTTTTTCGGTGCGCTGATCACGAATTTCATGTTAGCTTTGATCACCGATGATGTCTTGATGTTTTTGGGTCAGGTCGGGTCAGGTCAGGTCAGGTCAACCAGTAGGCGTCTTGCTAGCTGTCCATAGGAGGTGTCAACCACCACTGACAGCCTCGTGACATTGTACGGAGGCGCCAAAATTACTTCTTAACCCTCGCCGGACCTATCGGTTTTCTACATACGCGCCGGCCGAGGGGGGGGGGGGGCGGGTACGACCCCCCCCCCTCGCCGTTTCGCCCCTGGTGGAGCTAGCGCGTCGCGGAAAAAACGAGCGTGTGCGCCGTTACGAGACGCAGAGATTGGTACCCGATTTTAAGGTCCTAGGTCAACCGGTGACCTCTGAGGTCAGGTCAAGTGCCCCAAGGTACGGTTCAGTTTTTGGTGAATAACTTCGCAAAAAACGGCCGCAGAGCGCCGATTTTGGCAGCATCGTGTTCGTCTCGCTCAGGCGCGTCGAATGATATACTTTTTGTCCGGGTCAGGTCAACTTGGGGTGTTGACCTCAGGTCAAGGTCAGGTCAGCACCTCCAGGTCACGAAGTTGGTCGAAAGAGGTCATGTCGCATATCATTCGATTCGGCAGGTCTTCCTGAGTCCATTGGTGGCTTTCCCGACTCGCTAGCTCAATTTGATCAAGAGTTATTGACGAAAAACTAATATGACCTTGATGACGTCATAAATGACGTCACGCATGGTCAACATTGCAAAAGTGACGCATCTAACCTTGCAAGGAGTGCATAAAATCACGGTTCTGTGTGCTTGAGATAGTTGGAGATCGTTCCCGGCGCCAGAATAGCAGTTTTCATTTTTCCCCATTGACTTATAATGGTGAGGTCACGAAAATGACCTGACCTCATATGATCTTTAGGAAAAATCCGAGATATACAAGTTGTGGGACTCATAATGGATACTAGATCCTGCAAGTTTCATTTCCCTGTGACATCTCCTCTGGCAGTGAGGGCGTTGCGAAGTTGCGACATCTGAAGACCGTGCAGAGGTTCACTTATGACGTCATAGGTCAGTGACCTGACCTGACCCAAAAATGCGGTTGGTGTCAAAAGATGCGGCTTGGATCAAAGGTCAGGTATGCCAAGTTTCAGCTCTCTATCACCAGCGTGTTCGGAGCTATCGCGAAAAAACCCTATGGGGGGGGGCGGCACCCGCCCCCCCCCCTCGGCCGGCGAGGGTTAAATGTTCAAATGGGTGCTAAATTCGAAATCAGCTCCAAAAACTAGCCAAAAGAATATATGAACCCAGAAGAAGTGAACTAAGGTCATCATAGGTCAATGACCTTGATCTGACCTTCACGTGACCTTGACACCCACTATAATGCATGGGACCATCATCATTTCACATGTTTGAACGTTAGCAATCACAAAAGACTGGAAACGAGCGGATAATAACCGTTTTTACGAAGGGCTTCTTGGCAAATGCCCATCTAATTTGAACAAATCTGCACCAAATGTGCACCTAATCTGCACAAAATGTGTACTAGATGGCCGTCGTGAAATACTCCTGAGCTGAATGTTCGAATTTTGTTCTCCTTTTCTTTTTAGATGAACTAGATTGAACAAGATTTTCAATGGACAAGATTGCTGACGGCCCTCATGTGAAACGAGACTCGATGAATTCTTAAACTCCCTAGTTATTTTGTAACAACCCTAGGTTCGTTGCATACTAACTAGGGAGGTTGCAACGACCCTAGTTTCGTTACAACGTCCCGGAACGAGCAGTTATTTTGTAACGTCCCTAGGGTCGTTGCAAACAAACTGATCGTTCAGGGAGGTTACAACCACCCTAGGGTCGTTGCAAACTAACTGAAATCGCATACTCCCTGTAACAAATATAAACCGTCTTAAAGGGAGAGGCCAAAAACTGTAAAATCCGTTTCAAATAGCCCCACTTTACGGTACCCAATTTTAGATCGATACCTCTTTTTTGGCCAAGTCATGGCCAAGTTATAGCGAAAAAAAAAAATCAAAATTGATGTCAAATTTTCAAACTCAATTTTTAGCAATTCTAGACGACGTAACGAAAAACGAAGACCACTATTAGACTCGCCGTGACGAGCTGCATCGAATGAATACCCATTTTATCCAAAAATATCAACTTTGAAATTTGACCTTTTTTGACCTGACATTGACTTGACCTCTACCAGGAAGTGACCTAAACCGCTCCTGATGGCCTTATAACCAACACCATTGAGTTGGAAATGAAAAATTGGACATAAATCATGCATCGCACAGCCCTAGTAAAATTGGGTTCATGTGCTGACCCAGGCTTTAAAGGGACCCTCCCACCTTAACATTAGATTTGAGTTGAGATAGCCAAATTGGTGGCCATGGCCTGAAAATACCGGTTTGGGCACTCACAACATCGAAAAATGCTTTCATTCGGAGGTATCGAATTTCAAACTTGCAGTTTTCGGATTCTAAGGGGCTAATGCATTGGTATGTCCCCTTAAAATTTGTGACGTCAGCGGAGATCTAACGATTTTAAATCTTTTACTAAAACGTTTGGTAGCACGCGGTGGTATATGCTGCTTTGCGCGCAACAAATGCCGCACTTTCAAATAAAGTCGCTAGGAACAGCGGAGATCCCAAAAAGTAAACAAAAGTAAAAGTCTAATATCTTGAAAACCGGTGAATATTTTTCGATGAAATTTGGTAGATATTCGTTTTTGCTCTTTCTGAACCGAGCGACATCACTTTCATGCCAATTCATTAACTTTTTTGAAGGTGGGAGGGTCCCTTTAACCTATGACACCTAGTGTTATCAGTGGCTTCTAATAGCAACATATGCACTAGGCAACTGACGCCCTATCGCTGATTTTCGATAAAATACGTTTTACTCAATGTTACAGCGCATTCCCTAGAAGACCCGTGAACGGCAAAACATTTTATCTTTGACCTGACCTTTGACGTCATCGGTGACCCCGAGGTCAATGAAATTTGATCTCTTTCGACAAATTTGACAGGGATTTCGAACGCCGTTTGAATTTTGTGAATCCGTCCAGTAGTTTTGGAGATACGGGGGGGGGGGGGGGGCAAAAAATAGCCCCCCCCCCACCAGGTCGCGCGATAAACAGGTCCCACTGGGGCGCGAGTGAATGATGTACAGTAATGTATATAGGACTCTTACTTCTACCACTATTCTTGTTCCTACTCTAACCCCCACTACGAAAAAATACACATGTAAAGATATCGGCTTTAATTAATGTGCCTCGTCTTAATAATCGATATACATCGTCTCTCCGAAAAGGGGGCCGGCCAAAAGTTCGTCATATGCTTGTAAGTCAGCTAAGAATTGAAGACCACTTGACTATAGAGCGACCATGACAAGTGCTTTGCTCGCTTCGGGTGCCCAAAGCTCATGTTATCTCTTTCTTTACTTGCCATTACATGAAAAACTTTCAGGGTTGCACAACAGGGTGGCATTGGAAAACAGCGAGCTAGCCTTAAGCGGGCCGCCAGCGGTAAAAGTACAGGAGCTGCGATGTCGCCGATTATGATAAGCATCCCTGTGCCAGTACCGTGTGAATTTCGGGTAGATCTAACGGTAGGCCGTCAGTACTGACGCTAAAGGACCCTGACTGGACGGAGTCGGACCCGCTGTGCTTACCCTGTGCCGTGAGTGGTATGGTAGCCGATAGGCCGTGTGCTCCCTATGTGTAAGGCCGCGCTGTGTGATGTCTGACCCGAGTACTGGCTGTGACGGTGTGTACTGCCATTCAGGAGGATGTCGTCCTCGCGGAAAGAGCACCTGGACGTGACGGCCGGCCAGTTCCGGCACGACCTGGTCAGCGGCGCGGAGGTCGTCGACAAGAGGCTCATTTCGCCGACTGTCTACGGCCTGACGCTCAAGGTTGAAGACCCGAATTTCGGATTTCATGCCGGCCAGTGGCAAGTGGCTTTGTTGCTGGGCGTCAATATGACATGCTCGCTTATCAAACAAAGTTTGGTGTGCACTAAGGCGATGAGTAAGACTCGTGCAGGCAATCTAATGCAGATGTTAAGTACTGACAGCGAAATTAAAAAGTGCGTGTTCCATCAAATGTTCATTTGAAAACATTATTAGTGCATTTACGAATTCACATAAAGCAACTATGGTTACATATGCAATATGCATACTATTTAAAACACTCGAAATGAGAAAAGATGCATTGCATCATGTATGTAATCAAACCGGTAGGTAATACTGCATTAGTTCGTGTCAGACCAGCATCAAATGGCAACACCAAACAGCTGCTAATGCTAATGTCGTGTTGTGCAGGGTGGATTTCTGCATCCCCGGCACGAATCTGGTGGGCGGCTACAGCATGTGTTCGGCCCCTGACCAGCTGCGAACGGAGGGGACCCTGGAGCTGGCCGTTAAACGCTCCTCGTGGCCGCCGGCCGTCTGGATCCACCAACAGGTCAGTATATGAGCCGGGCAATGTACCGGCACATCAGTCTAGGTCGTGAGTTTCCCATCATGCGAGCGCTAAGGCTACCACGAACACCTTATCCATTAGTTCGCTTTTCTTTGTTGCGTATTATGTTTTACTAAATCGTGGAAATTGTCCATCGTAATTTCTTATAGATCACCTTCGAATAATAATCCCAAATCAGCTATATATTCTGTAATGATGCGTCTGTCTCGGCGCTCAGAATCGGCACCATATTAACATTTACTTTTTTCGTCCCTCATTGACGACCTGTACCGTGTTGGCTGTTCGCAGTGCCGGGTGGGCAGTCGGGTGACCCTGAAGGCCGGCGGTGACTTCTTCTTCCACCCGGCGCCCCAGGATCCGGCCCGGCCGCTGCTGCTGGTGGCCGGGGGCGTCGGTATAAACCCGCTGGTGTCGATCCTGCGCCACTGCCGCCACCTGCGCGCCGAGTCTCGCCGCACCGGCGCCGGATACGTGCCGCGGCCGGTGGAGCTGCTCTACAGCGCGCGCAGCCGCCACGAGCTCATCTTCCGGGTAGGTGGTGGGTGGGAGGGCGCAGAAACTGACACAGGTGCGCGAGCTTGCCGCATTATTGTGGCAAAACGAGAACATATTTTTGACCAGCGCCGCTACAGATGTTTTATGTGTAACTGAGATAAGGAATGCAACAATGTACGAATATAATCAGTTTTTTTACACCAAATGACTGCTTTTTGACAGGACACCATAGCGAAGATGGCCGACGAGGGTTTGGTAACGGCCAACCTATTCGTCACGGGAAATGACGTGCCTGCTAATGATACCTCCTGCCATAGTGAGTACTCACTCTCAAGGACAGTTTCTTGATAATTCTCATAAACAACGCTGTAGCTATGTACTCGTATTTTACCAATTAAAGGCGCGGATTTTCGACGCAAGGCGCACATGACCTGATGATCTCGTGACTACTTGATACCAGGGCCTTTGACCTCGTTACCCCATAAACTCGTGACCTCTGGCCCATGTCATTGCCGAGGGCAACTTATCAGTACCTATGAGCCGCTCTTATTATTTGACATAAATCTTGGGGTGCTCTTAGGCCTTGAGGTACCTACTCTACCCTCTTGACATCTGACCTCGTAGTCTGCCAAATCGTGACCTGAAAGTCGTGGCATATGACCTCGGGACTTGTAGCGCCGTGACCTGTAACCTTCGACGCGTGACCTCATGATCTCTGACCTCGTGATATCTCACCTCCCTCGTTATTACTTGACCTTCTAGTCTGAACTCTATAACCCCGTCCCTCTGACCGCCCCCCCCCGTCCGTCCGTCTGGGCAGACCGGCGCGTGTCCAGCTGGGACGTGGAGTCGGCTGTGGCCCGGCTGGGTGGCGCCCCGCTCTGTTACCTGTGCGGGCCCAGCGCCATGGTGGAGGCCGTCGAGGGGTGTCTGCTCGGCCGGCTCCGGTTGAACGCTGCCGACGTCCGGTTCGAGCGCTGGTGGTGAGCCCCGCACGTTCAGTCCGCCGGGGCGCCCACCCCGCATGGTCAGTCCGCCGGGGTGCCCACCCCGCACGGTCAGTCCGCCGGGGAGCCCATCCCGCGCGGTCAGTCCGCCGGGGTGCCCACCCCGCACGGTCAGGCCGCCGGGGTGCCCACCCCGCACGGTCAGTCCGCGCCCGGGGAGCCCACTCTGCGACACTCGGTGGCCGGGGGGGGGGGGGATGGTGATGTGGGGCGCTGCTCCACTGTGCAATGCAACGAGTCAAGTGATGTGAGACTTCTTTGAATGATAGAATGTAGATTGTTAAATGTGTATTGAAGGCACGGCATAGCTGTTGTTTGTATGAGTTTTTTTTTAGATTGACGGTATAGCTTATGTATCATTCACAACGATTTAATAAAAGGAAAGCAAACAGAAGTTATCACCTAATTTTCTTCTTTCGGGGTTAGTTCATCATTTTTAAAAAAGTCCTTGTGTTTCCTGATAACGACTTGTGGAGTTAGCACCATTCACTGTATGATTGTGACGGAACAACCGAATATGACATCGCAGTTCCACCACAAGACCGCTAAATTACGTCCACCTCCAAATGGAGCTTCTGTTCCTAAATGCGCTCGTGGAAAGTCAAAACACGTCCCGCCCAGACCATGAGTATGCTATCTGGGCACATCTAACCGGTCGGGCGCTGCTCGGGGCCGAAGGAGGCAGTTCATCCCCCGCGTCACTGTTGGGGAGATCGGAGCCCGATAGAGGCCCCCTGTAGGCTCACTGGGGCCCGGGCCGAGATCACGACACCTGAAACGTGTGAGGGCTTATGGGAGAACTCTAACGAGAACAGGCTGAATATGGGAAAGTGGTAAACATATGGAGGTGTAGGCGGAAGGTGCATGTGTTGTTTAGAGAACAGATATTTTGAGTTTGGCTTCTCCGCAATACTTGGTTCCCAAAACCGTTGCGTCTTTCCCCACCGAATAATCACTTTGACTTTATTTACAGAGCACTCGTGCGCTGCCATTGTCGGCGCCTTTGATTTCGGTGGCCCGGCAATGTTGTATATTCCCGAGAGTGCCAGCGGAGCACGTTTGGTCGGGGGTGCGGCGTCACCATAGCGATTGGTGCTGCTATCACTGCGCGGCCGGTAAATAAATGGAGCGGCGCTGTTTTCGGCCCGCTCCGCCCCTTTTGTTATGACTCTGTGGGGACAGACTGGCGGCGGCTGGCGCTCCATCAGTGATAGATGCGCGCCGTTGTTTCTGTTAATCGGATAATCTGGGCGCAACATTAATCACGGCGACAATAACAAGGTGTCGCAGGCGGCGGGCGACGTCGGCGGCGGCACGACGGCCCGTCCGGCCGCCCGCCGGTCCCCGGTGGGTGGAGCGCGCCGGCCGCCGCTGCCGCGCCCGCTGCCGCGCCCGCTGCCGCTGCCGCTTCCGACCGGCGCCGCCAGCCAAACAGAGTCGGCCGGCCCGCTCCAAACACTGTCGGTGGCCCCAAACATCGCCCCGGGCCGCCGCCGGGCGGCGCCTTCACACGGCAGAAAAATCGGCCGAAACTGCCGACCGGATGGAGAGAGGGTCCTGTTCGGCGGTCCGCTCCACAACAGCCTCGCAAAATAATCCGCCGTATACCTGTAAAATACTCAGAAAAGCACATGCAATTAGCCTCTGTTTGTGTTATCTCCTGAGTGCTGCGCGACGGGCTCTCAGCATTGAAAGGCTTCTGATCTTGGTATCAGTAAGTTTCCGTCGTTTTTTCACTGGCCAGCGGCACTTCAAACCCGGCGCCGCGGCCGCCGTCGGTAAACTGTGGGTTGTCGTTTAAACTCGCGGCGGCGATACTCGGCCGCCATATGCGATGTGCGGTCATTCGGCGGCAGCGAGGGTGTGGGCGCTCTCGGGCGCTGACTCAGGTGCATCTGATGGTGGCGGTGGGTCCATCACCTCCCTGTCATCCGCGCTCCGACGTCCTCTGTGACCTGTCCCACGCGTATTTCTGCTAATTCCTCTGCCGGATCGGCGGAGTATTTTCCGATGTGGCGCCGGTGCCTGGCTCGGCGCTGGAAGGAAACTCTGCCCGTGGGAGACGAGCGGGTGACAGGTACGACCCGGGACACACCCACTGGCCAGCCGGGCTGGCGCCGGCACCGCGGCCTCGGTCCGCAGCCGTGTTTGCCTCTGCCGACTACTGTTTGTGCATAGTTCCCGCAATGGGTCCACGATTCAGAAAAGGCAGCTCGCGTAATCTCTTCTTGGTGGGCTGGCTGACGAGACGAGGAAACTGAACGGCTGCCCGGGAGCAGCCGATCTCAGGCTGCAGGAGTTTCCGGCATGGCGTTTTAAGAAGTGCAAAGGTCATCTTAGTCATCATCAGTGATGAAATTGTATGTCGATCGGAGTAGTCATCGATTGTGCTGCGTTTTTGTTGTGTTCTTTGTGCAGTGTCCAGACGGACGCGGGACGAGTTCGGCCGTCTTATCCCGCCGACGACACCTGGTTTCTCACACCTACAGTCACACATGAGTTATTCTTCCTCCAACTATCTCCACTTCCTGCGACAGCTCGGTGTATATCCATAAACTTTTTATTAATGGGTTGATATAACGGGTGTCAAGTCCAAAATGAGACAAAATTGAAATCGCTCTATTTTCAACCTCCCTTTAGATATTCACCTGAAATTTGGACAGAATGTCCATACGTGTATTGCACGAGCATGATGTTAAAATATTTTGGCTACGTATTGAGGTCAGTTGTCATGGAGCCTTTGAGCAAGCAAGCCGCAAGAGACATTGTCGCGAGAGTAGTTGACAAAACTCGAACTTGACTAAGGCTCAGGTTTTCCGCCACGTTAAATCGCTTGGTATTCCACGATCGACTGATATATCGCGTTATCAATACATTCCTAGACAAAGGACACATAAGACGAGCTCAGAATGGCAGGCCTGCTCCCAAAATGTCAGCAAAGAGGCGCCAAGACCTTGTTCGCATGGCAGACGGCAAAGTCGGCGTCTCACTTCGTCTCTTAGGCCGCAGCTTTGGCATAACGCATGACAGAGTGAGACAAATTATCAGAGAGGAAGGGGTAAGATATAGGATGCGCCAGAAAGCTCCTCAGGTATCTTCTCAGCGAGAACAATCTCAAAAGGGCCGCCTGCGACCCCTTAGCCGGGGAAAACTGAGTGTCACTCGAGAGCAAGATGTCATCATGGACGATGAAAGCTACTTCACCTACACTGGCTCAGAAATGCCACAAAACCGTGGTTTTTACGCTGGGCCTGGTGGAGACACACCTTCGAATGTGACGTACCGTCCGATAAGGAAGTTCCCACGTACGCTTCTTGTGTGGATAGCCATGTCACCCAACGGAGTACCAAAACCAACAATTGGCCCCAGTTCAACAAATGTTAGCGCCCATGTCTACATCACAAAGTGCCTGAACAGCAACCTCAAACCGTTCATCGAGGCCAGCTACCGAAAGGGTGGATAGGCATTTTGGCCAGACTTGGCTTCAGCTCATTATGCACGTGCCACGTGCCAGTTTCTGGAGGAAGCTGGCATACCTGATATTTAATCCGCGAGGAAAACCCGCCGAATGTCCCGCAGCTGGGACCAATTGAGGACTTCTTGGGCATACTTAACCCGCGCCCTGGTGGGGGGGGGGCTATTTTTTGCCCCCCCTCCAGACTTTTCGATATATCTCCAGAACCGCTGCGCCGATCGTCACCAAACTTTCAGTACCCTACCGGACATCAATTTTACACATTGTGACTAAAAATTTTTCCAAAGGCTATGATAGGTTGGCCGGAAATGACGTCAGAGTGACGTCATGTTCTGCCGTTTTCGACCCAAAAAAGGGTTTCGCGGGAAGAGCTGTCAGGCCTATAGCTTTGCAAATACAGAAAAACGATAAGGAAATAAAAGCTGTAGAATTGACAGGGCTACAAAACTGCTATCTCGGATTTTTAAAATTTTTGGATTTTGACCCCCAAAAATCAAAAAATAGATTTTTTGATTATAATAGCCGAAAAATCCAAAAAGTTTTTTGAATTTCGAAAAAACCGGAATATATGTGATAGTCCTTACCGCCTTCTATCTACATACCAAATTTGAGATCGATACCTCTTTTTTTGGCCAAGTTACAGCGAAAAAACTGTTCAAAATTGATGACGTCAAATTTTCAAACTCAATTTTTAGCAATTCTAGACCTCGTAGCGCAAAACAAAGACCACCATTAGACTCCCCGTGACGAGCTGCATCGAATCAATACCCATTTTATGCAAAAATATCAACTTTGAAATTTGACCTTTTTTGACCTGACCTTGACCTGACCTCCACCAGAAAGTGACCTAAGCCGTACCTGATAGTCTTATAACCAACACCATTGAGTTGGAAATGAAAAATTGGCCATAAAACATGCATCGCACAACCTACCTAAAGTTAGGTTCATGTGACCTGACCTGTGACCCTTGGTGACCTGACCTGTGACCTGACCTGGTAATGTCAGTGACCTCTTATAGCAATATATGTACTAGGCAACTGACGCCCTATCGCTGATTCTCGACAAAATGCGTTTTCTTCGGTGTTATAGCGCATTCCCTAGATGACCCGTGAACGGTGAAACATTTCATCTTTGACCTGACCTGTGACGTCATCGGTGACCCCGAGGTCAATGAAATTTGGTTTCCTTCGACAAATTTGACAGGCCTTTCGAACGCCGTTTGAATTTTGCGGATCCGTCCAGTAGTTTCGGAGATACGAGGGGGGGCAAAAAATAGCCCCCCCCACCAGGTCGCGTTATAAACAGACCCCACCAGGGCGCGGGTTAAACAAGAAGTCTACCGCGGTGGCTGGACAGCGTCATCCGATCAGCAGCTGCGTGCCAGAATCCTGAGCAGCATCAAGAAAATTGTCCCGGAGGTGCCGCGATCGATGATGAAGATAGCGGGAGAGCACGTGCGTCTGGCAGACAGGCATGGACCCCTGGTTCAGATTCACTAGTACCAGTGGACTGGCGACAGAACAAGGTGTATGTGGTGAAAGTTTCGTTAAAATATCTTATGATACACAGTGTCTACCTTAATTTTGCGTTTGTCCCATTTTGAACTTGACACCCGTTACATTCTTTTTGGTTGTACTTAAAGGGACCCTCCCACCTTAACATTAGTTTTGAGTTGAGATAGCCAAGTTTGCGGCCAGGCTCAGAAACCACCATTTATCCTGGTTGCAACCCCCGCAGCTTTATGGTGTTCAAGAAATTTCTTCCCTTTACTTGCAGGGTGGGACCAGCGTGGTCCCTATCTCTTAACCATTACGGGAATCTGATGACGTCATCAGGCTTTCGAACGTCCGTTAAATGTTTGACTAAAACGTTTTGTAGCACGCGGTGGTATATGCTGCTTTGCGCGCAACAAATGCCGCACTTTCAAATAAAGTCGCTAGGAACAGCGGAGATCCCAAAAAGTAAACAAAAGTAAAAGTCTAATATCTTGAAAACCGGTGAATATTTTTCGATGAAATTTGGTAGATATTCGTTTTTCCTATTTCTGAACCGAGCAACATCACTTTCATGCCAATTCATTGACTTTTTTGAAGGTGGGAGGGTCCCTTTAACTGTTATATAACAAGTATTGTTCACTGATTTTATATTTCATTGGTACGTACTTTATCATGCGGACATTGAGCGACGACCATCGCACCTATCAAGAATCTAGAGTTAGTGGTCCCCCTTGCCCTCTTAATTGGCTTGCATTGTAGTATGTAAATGCAAGGGATCCGTGTCCCCCTAGAGGCGTTCATTGCATCCACCATAGCTTTTGAACGTTATTGTATCAGCGCATCGTTTATGCCCGGGGTATAGTTTTAGCGGATCCTGATCCCCGCAAGAGATCACTGGAGGCCACCCCACGGCGCCACGTGCTGCATTCCTCCCCGGTTCCCCATTCTACACCTGCCTCTGCAGTGTTCTGTCTCCCCCAGTAACTGTATTCTGCATCTGATTTCCACCATCTGGTTCTCTGTCAGCTCCGCGATTCCGCTGCAGTTCACCGTGACAGGCGGACACGCCGCGTGGCTCCCGTTCGCCGCCCACGGGCAGCGCGCCGCGGCCGGTCGCGCTCCCGGCCTGTCATGTTTGCCGCATCTGGCTCGTCGGCCGGGAACCACATACACACATCGATAGCGAGTGGCCGGGCCGGCGAGCGGCCACTGCCGGCCCGGGCGGAATACTAATGGCGCCGCGGCCGACCCGTCGTGTTCCGACCGCTCACCGCGCTGCGGCCACCGATGGACGCTGGCGGCCGGTAGTCCCTGGGATGGCAGTCCCTCAGTCCATCAGACAGTCCGTCAGATGGAGGCAGGCGGCGGCTGGCAGTCCCTCAAAGGTCAAACAGTCTCAGGCAATCTCTCAGTCTCTCAGACAGTCTCTCAGTCTCAGAGGCTCTGACAGTGCCTCGGACGGCAGCTCTCAGTCCCTCGGCCGGCGGCCCGCATCTGACTACCCGATCGCCGCGGCACGGCTACCAGAATTTGCACTCGCCGCGATGGATGGCCGTGTCCGAGAAGTATGCGGTAAGCCGGCCGATAAGGGTCGCCGACAATATGTGTGGCTGCGGCCGGCGAGGAGCGACAGCCGAGCGGTCTTACTCACCGGCCGGCCGCCATCGGCAGTGGGCGCACGTATCGGCTCCATATGGGCTGCCGCTCGGCGGCTTTGATCCCGGTGTCGTCGGGGCCGATATGGGGCCCGGCCGGCTGCTCTGGACGGCGGCTGGCCGGGCCGGCAGGACGTGCAGGGAGTCTGCCAGGCGGCCAGACTGATCCCGCGGCGATAGCCACCCGGGTGAGCGTGATGTGGCGCACCCAGCAGCCGTAAAGAACGACAACGATGGATTAAAACATGCATATTTGGGAAATGTTGACATTTGAAGACTTGCTCACGGTGATGGTAATCCCAAAATCAGCAACAAGAAATCAAATAACATACGTCCGTGTGAACCTTATGCGAACGATTCGGGACCAGTTCAAGCAACATGTAAGAAGAGTAGCTGAAGGCGTTTAAACTATTGGCAATACCAGAGCGTGTTAGAAAAGCAATATAGATAAATCAAACGTAACATCAGTCTACTTGCCAGAAAGACTCCCTGATTATTTCCATGATCGCCAAAATTCGTCCAATAGGCCGCCTCCTATCTAGACAGTTCGACGTGGCTTACCTTGGAATTGAGCAGGCTAATCCTGGATGGAATTATTTCCATCATTTCTACACTTCCCATAGCGTGAAAAATGTCTTTCAGTAGGCTCCATCAATCTCTTCTCGCTGGCTTGTCTTGTCACTTTCCGTATAATGTGATTACTATCTTAGTTGAATTGTAGGCGCTGTAGTCTGACAACTTTATTGCCACCCCACTGTGGGTTTCCGCTAATCCCCATCATTACAAGGGGCAGTCAGAAGCCGAGGGTGCGGTGCGCTCCGGTGGTGTCTGACCGCTGTGCGCCGGATCAGGCCTGCTGGGCGCCGCGGCTGACAGCGGCCGGTGACGGGCGGACTCCACCGGCGCGCCGGCCGCCCTCTCCGCAGGCGCCGCCCACCCATCAGCCCCTCTCGCGCCGGCCACTGTCGCGCCTGTCAAGATACTCATCGGCTGCTCATCATCATTAGCATGTAATGAGCTGGACAGCGTGGGCCGTCGGCGCGCTGGCCGGCGCCGCTCATTGGCCGCCGGCCGGCCGTCACGTGACCGGCGGCTAGGACGGCGCGGGGCGGCGCGGCGGCGGCAGTCTCGGCGGCGCGGTGACGCCGGTGACGCTCGGTGACAGTCGCGGAGATGGCCAACCGGTGGCCGACGCTGGCCGCGCTGGCCGCGCTGGCCGTACTGGCAGCGCTGGCCCCAGCGGCGGCGTTCGAGCAGTGGGACACGGTGCCGGGCCGCGGCGGCCAGCCCGTCTGCATCACCATCCCGCACAACATGACGCTGTGCCGCGGCATCGGCTACTCGATGATGAAGCTGCCCAACCTGCTGGACCACGACAGCCTGTCGGAGATCTCTCAGCAGGCGGCCTCGTGGGTGCCGCTGCTGAACCTGCGCTGCGACCCGGACGCGCAGCTGTTCCTGTGCTCGCTGTTCGCGCCCATCTGCATGGAGCAGCACATCTACCCGTGCCGCAGCCTGTGCCAGAAGGTGGAGCACAGCTGCGGCGCCCGCATGCAGCAGTACGGCTTCCCGTGGCCGGACATGGTGCGCTGTGACCAGTTCCCGGCCGACAACGACATGTGCATCACGGCCCAGTCGGGCAAACAGCCCTCCGGTGAGTGAGTGAGCGCGATACGCCGCACCCGGGGAGACGCACCGCCCGCTGCCCCGGGAGACGCACCGCGCGCCTCTCCCGGGGAGACGCAGGGGAGACGGGCAGAGATAGATGGGGACGGAGGGGAGATTGGGGGGCGAGGGATGCGTGGGGACTTGGGAATGGAATCTTGGAGGCGGATACTAGGGGCGAGAGAATTGAAACATACATTGGCTGGAAAGCATATTTGGGAACCGTGTAGTTTGTTAAAAACGAACCAAACGGCAAACCATAATCCACTGGTGAACGGAATGCTAATTTATACCTAGACACAGACAGCGAGACTCTGCCGACGCCGGCTCGCCAGTGGTCCTCGGGTGGTCTGGTCAGCGGTCACCTGCCGCTCCCTGCTGCCCCTTTAGCTGCCCGGTAGCCGCTCCTGGCGGCCCATGAGGACAGTAGCCGCTCTCGACGGTCTCCGAGTCCGGTAGCCGCTCCCTGTGGTCCCTGAGCTGCCCAGTAGCCGCTCCCGTGGCCTGGCGGGGAATGTCGCCGTGTCGGCGGCAGCCGCGACACGGACGCCCACATGGCCGGCTTCCGGCCGCCGCCGTGCTCGTGAGCTGCTGGTATGTCACAGTGCCGCAGGTGCCGCCGGCCGCGGTGACATGCACGAACTCGAGTGTCTACCGCGACAGACAGCTGTGCCCCAGTGTCTGCCGAGACAGACAGCTGTATCCCAGTGTCTACCGAGACAGACAGCTGTGCCTCTGTGTCTGCCGGTGTGTCTGCCGCGACAGACAGTCTGTCGCAGTGTGTCTACCGCAACAGAAAGGTGTCTCGGTCACCGATGGAGCGGCCGAGAGCAGTCTCAGCGGTTGTCCAAGTCATGATGGCTGGCTTCTGTGCAACAGTTGGCGACCCATGCTGATGCCATAAGATGGTGCGCTGCGCGATTCTTGCACAATCACATGCAAATGTGCAGATTATCGGCGACTATAGAGCGGTCATGGCACGAATCGGCCCTTGGAATACCAATGCAATGGCTGACATATGGTAACGAAAACCAGCAAAAGAGACTGCAGCCTGCATATTTCCAGTAGCGTCCGTATACAGTTGTTTTGTAGATGAGCAATGGCTCACAAGTCACATGCATTCCATGTTTGCTATTTATGACTTGCAAATTTGGCTGTGAATCCTCTATTTTTCTTCGACAGTACCACATTCTTCCTGTGTAAACATAAACGGGCCGCCAGCCGCATTAGGTATGCTAATTGTTTTTATTTTGTTGTGATCATGCCTTTTGGGCTTAATAAGACGATTGTAAAGCTATGGAATGATAGGATAGAGTGGAGACAAGGGACTGAGCGGGCCACCGAGCGGTGCACCGCGGCGGAGTGGGTGTGATCGTCCCCGGGAGTGCCCCGATGAGACGGCCCGCCCTGACACTCAAACGGTCACCCCGGAGAGGTGCACTCCTGTTGGAGAGCCGACCCCACCACCGCACAGTGTGGCCGAAGACCAGTTTAGCGCGAATTTAATCCCAGCGCCGCTCGGATCCACTGAAAATGGTTCTCTGGCTCCAAAACTGACGTTTACCCCTCACCGGACCTATTGGTTTTCAAAATACCCCCCCCCCTTCGCCGGCCGAAGGGGGGGGGGGTACGACCCCCGTCGCTGTTTCGCCCCTGATGAAGCTAGAGCCTCGCGGAAAAAACGAGCGTGTGTGCCGTTACGAGACGCAGCAACTGGTATCCGATTTTAAGGTCTCAGGTTAACCTGTGACCTCTGAGTTCAGGTCAAGTGGCCCAAGGCACGGATTCGTTTTCTATTAATAACTTCGCGAAAAAATGCCGCAGAGTCGCAATTTTGGCATCATCGTGTTCGCCTCGCTCAGGTGCGTCGAATGGTATGCTTTTTGTTCGGCTGAAGTCAACTTAAGGTGTTGACCTCGGGTCAAGGTCAGGTTAGAGCCCCCCAGATCACGAAGTTGGTCGAAGGAGGTCATGTTGCATATCATTCGATTCGGCAGGTCTTCCTCAGTCCATTGGTGGCTTTCCCGACTCGCTAGCTCAATTTGATCAGGAGTTATTGACGAAAAACTCTTATTATCCTAGTGACGTCACAAATGATGTCACGTAAGGCCAATAATGCAAAAGTGAAGCATCGAACCTTGCAAGGAGTGCATGAAATCACGATTTCGTGTGCTTGAGATAGTTAATTAGGCTGGAGCCTGTTCGGCCGAGCCGCCCCCCACCTTGGTCAGGTCACGCCGGGCGGCCGACTAGACATGTTCAAAGCTGAATTGACGGCAAATAGGCAAAAAGTGGCAGCTGAAACTTGCTCGCTTATGTTCAGAAATGTGCGGAGAGTTCAGCCATGCCCTATTCGTCATATCCATTTTTATCCATTTTGACATTTTCCAACTTCTTTATGAAATACTATTGTGAGAACGATACACATGCAGGGCTCCTGTTCTAACTCATTAAACTCAGAAACCATTCATTGAAAAGCTACCATGATAGCAGAAACAGCTTCATCATGAATTGTGCTATCCGGTGATATGCTATTTTCTCATATATCTTCTCGAAGCTTCCGTAAAATTTACATTGAAACCTGGACATATTTCTCAGTACCATATAGCCCGATTTCAGGAACCGGATCGTGGGTCTACTTTCGGCAGGGATATAAGTCCTCAAATGATAAAGTGGCTTAAAAATAAGGTTCTATCCGATAACTTCGGACAATTTCCTACCCATTGATAGGTATAAATAACAGTTTATCGAAAGTCGGGTTTTTGATTAAATTCGCGCTAATCTGGTATTCGGCAAGACCGTGCACCGGCTGTCTGGTGGGGCTGACCGTCAGCACGGACAAGGTATAGTGCGAGCAAGGCTGAAAAGATGCGGATGGGTTAGTCCTGAGTTTTAGCGAGGACAAGCCTTATTTGTTTGGTGTAGGTGTTCTGATCGGAAATGAAGAATTGATAAAGGTAGCTTCTTCAGAGAGCTAGTAAGGACAATTCTTACCGTTGAAACCCATGCACAGCTGAAATAAGTAAGCCATGTTATTTGATTTCACTTCCAAGTTAATTAATGAAGTTGACATTAATTAGCCAGCTGACAAAGTAGGTTGTCAAAATGATGCCGCTGTTGGCTTGTCTTGTCTCCAAATAAGGCCATAGCCAATTAATAATTCAATCAATCAGGAGCTAACTGGTAAAACAATGATAAATTGCTGTGTTTATGAAAGCTGTCAAACCACTCATCAGATAGGTGTCAGTCAGTGAGTTCCCAGTCAGGCGCAGTTATTTCTGACGTGTAGTGCCGAGAACGACAGATGCACGGAGGCACCCGCCGGCAGATCGTCAAACCGAGTTCTCCGTGAAGGGCTGCAGGCACCGGGAGTCGTATCACTGGACAGGTAGAGACGGTCGGATGTTCATTAGGTGAACGTGATTACTAGGCATACACTCCGCTTCACGTAGTTAGCTGAAAAGTTGGTCTCTTGGTAGTCGGTAGTTGGTTCTCGTTTGGTGTGATGAGCGCAGCTCAGCAGGTCTGAATCTATCAATTATCCGCTAGCCCAATCAGGCAAGCTCGATCTGCTCCATGAAGATGTCACCCGGTGGCGGCGGACACGGGCAGCGGGGCCGATGGCGGTCCACGGTCCCCCCATCCCGCAGACGGGCCCGTCCCGTTCCGTCCCGTCCCGTCCCGTCCCGTCCCGTCCCGTCCCGTCCCGCTCCCAGGACCTGAGACGTCCGGGCCTGTCCGGGTGTGGAGCGGCCGGTTGGGCGGTCGGCCGGCTGTCACACCTGTCACGGACCTGTCGCCGGCGGCTGCCGGTCCCGGCCGATCCTATCGGGTGTGTGTCGGCGTTCCGGCCGCGGTTTGTTGTGTCAGAAAACACGCCGGCCGCCGATAGGGTCTGGGCCGCGTCTGGAGCCGCCGGCTGACCGCTCGGTAGTGAGTGGGTGAGAGGTGAGAGGCTCGGCAGAGCTGCCGCCATCAGCGGCTCACAGGGCTCAGAGTGTTGACGTTGACGTCAGCGGCTCAAACAGGAGGTGCCACCGACTCAAATGGAAGGCAAGGACAGTGGCTCAGAGTCGCGGCACCAATGGCAGGTGCCACCGGCTCAAATGGAAGGCTGTGACGGCAGCTCAGAGATGCGGCACCAGTGGAAGGCGCCGCCGGCTCAGAACGGTCTCTGTCGGCAGCGGCTCAGGGCAGCCGGCCCCACCGACTCAAATGGAGGGCTGGGACAGCGGCTCAGCTGCGGCACCAACGGAAGGTGCCTCCGGCTCAAATTGAAGGCTAGGACAGCGGCTCAGAGCGGTCAGCACCTGTGAAAGGTGCCACCGGCTCAGCTGGGATGAGGTTGGACCTGGGTGGCTCAGAGCGGCCGTGCAGCAGCGGTGGGAGGCGACAGCGGCTCAGATTGGAGCCTGGCCCCGCGCAGCCGCCGCCGCCGCCGCTCCGTGACCGCTGATGCGCTAGAAGAGGCCGGTCTTGATTGATGCAGGCTGAATGCTAGGAGTCGGCTCCGTCCGGACTTGGTCCGCAGTCGACCGGGACCGGGTGTCGGTTTGGATGCAGTCCGCAGATGAAGGATTATTAAGATGACGGACCATTGCTGCGTGAGAAACACAAACGCCTGAAGTCTGATGTGACTGGGCCTTCACAGCCGGCCTGCCAGAAAAGGTTGTTCTTGGTTAGTTGTTTTTCTCCCTAATGGTGCCATGCTTGTATTTTTCAGTTGGCACGTTACATCAGGTAGAATGCCGACGGTGAGTACTGCTGAATCGTTTCCTCTGTGACTAAGACAGTAAGCACGAACCTCCATTTCTCACAAGGCCACGAGACAATTTCCTTGCGAAGTATTTCATAGTATTTGTGCTTTTTCCACTAGTGCTGGCGCCTCCAACCGTGTGCTGACATCACTGAGAACAGTTAGGATGCGTGCCAACTGTCTGCTTAATTAAACATTTTTTGATCTTCCCAAACAATAGTGTTTGCAGCCTG